ATACCTGCACCAGTTTCAAGCCGCTCTCTGCATTTTTAAGTTAGCGGTTTAAAGTCTATCAGATGAGACATTCACAAATTATCACATGAAAACCCACGTTTCAACTTTCTCAATTTCAACTAAATTAACAAATTGGTCTCAGCACAGCTCAAAATCAATTAAAACCTTTCTCCATGCAAGATACAACATTGAATTTGAATCATCCCAATTACCGTCTGAAGAAGGGGTGGGGATGTTGAGATTTAGAGGGTCATCTGAACCGTGATGTCGGCACCCTTCTGGCAAAACAATGACAGACAGTAAGTGTTTTCTGTCAGGGCCACCCACCTTGGTGAGACATGGCCGGTTAAAAAAGTATAGATTCTTTTGAGAAATATATACACAAGGCGTAAATGTTTGAAGCCATCCAAAAGATGCAGTTTCCAGTTATTGCACAGAATCCAACCGTTCCAACTTTAACTAAGGTAGTAAACTGTAAAGATTGCACCTACACAGTTCCATACCAAAAGGTATACTTTTCGTAAGAGGTATCAGTAATTAAAGACTGAAGCCATTCAGAGTATACTACTGACTCCGGCCATACAATAGAGCGGAAAAATAATGTAAGGGACCTGGGAGTAGTAATGTCTGAGGATCTCACTTTCAAGGATCACAACAGTGCCACGATCGCACGTGCAAAGAAAATGATAGGATGGATAATGAGAACTTTCAAAACGAGAGATGCCAAGCCCATGATGATCCTTTTCAAATCACTTGTTCTCTCTAGGCTGGAATACTGCTGTACATTAACATCTCCATTCAAAGCAGGTGAAATCGCAGATCTAGAGTGTACAGAGATCCTTTACTGCACGTATAAGTTCTGTCAAGCACCTTAACTACTGGGAACGCTTGGAAGCACTTGACTTGTACTCGTTGGAACGCAGGAGGGAGAGATGTATCATAATCTACACTTGGAAAATCTTGGAAGGAATGGTCCAAATCTGCACACAGAAATCACTCCCTACGAAAGTAAAAGACTGGGCAGGCGATGCAAAATGCCGCCAATAAAAAAGTAGGGGCGCCATTGGTACACTAAGAGGAAACACCATAAGTGTCCGGGGCCCAAAACTGTTCAACAGCCTCCCATCAAGCATTAGGGGAATTGCCAATAAACCCCTGGCTGCCTTCAAGAGAGCTGGACAGATACCTAAAGTCAGTGCCGGATCAGCCGGGCTGTGGCTCGTACGTTGGACTGCGTGCGGCCAGAAGTAACAGCCTAGTTGATCAGGCCCTGATCCATCGGGAGGCCTGGTCATGGACCGGGCCGCGGGGGCGTTGATCCCCGGAATAACCTCCAGAAGAGGCATATTCAAATAGTTTCATGAAAAAAATGACTACCTTGTTAAAAATAAAACTAATTAGCACACACTTCAATGACAACCTCTTAAGTAGCACAAACCAGTGATGAAAATGGGAGGCAGGCCAGAAGAAACTGTCTCAAGTTATTACATGGAAACCAAAATCGGAGATAGTTTTCACAACTTGGAAGAAAAAAATCTGTTAACCATTTAACTAAGGGTACCCTTTCGATGTTACCTAACTGGGGGAGAACATCAGAATAAAGTGAAATTTGACATCCTCATTTAAGTAATCCTATTAAAATCAAGTAGATTTTCCAACTTGTGGTTTGATGCATTAAAGTGGTATTCTCTTATCTCTGTAAACGCCATTCCCACTTATCAAAACAGCAATCATTCCAGCTGGGCAATACAGATGAGTGATTACATCACGTGGTGGGAGACCAAGGAACAACTTTCGCTAAGCTTTTATTTATGTAAAATTTTATCTTTAGTTTTTAAATTTGGAGTATTTAAAAACATAATTTAAGCAGCATCAACTACCGAATAAACAAGATAGTCTATCCTTAAATTGTAAAATTAACACAATGTAAGTGTTAATACCATTCATCTGAGAAAAATCATATTGGGAAAGTTTTATTGTTTCAGCATTTTGAAATTACAAGACCTTTGGTGGAAGAATTTGTAGAAGATACAGTACCCGAGAACCTTATCCTAAATCTACACTACCATAATGTACTTGCGTGAAATATGGAAGTATAAAGTGGACTCTGAATATTTGTGGCGCCATGGGTACGATAAGAAAACACTTTTTTGTCAAAAATCCGTGGTCCGAGACTATTCAACCTACCACCAACAGGCATCGGAAATACTGCCAAAACAAGTGCACAAGTTTTCACGAGGAAAGAAAACTGCATCTCTACCTTTAAATGCCAGACCAACCAGACTGAATTGGTCGAGTAGGCCTACTGCAGTACGCAGTAGGCCTACCTGCTTCCTGGAGTCTACCTGGAGGGCATTCCGGGGATCAAAGCTCCCGCGGCCCGGTCCATGACCAGGCCTCCTAGTGGATCAGGGCCTGATCAACGAGGCTGTTACTGCTGGACGACAGTAGTCCAACGTACGAACCACAGCCCAGATGATCTGGCACTGACTTTAGGTATCTGTCCAGCTCCCTCTTGAAGACAACCAGGGGTCTGTTGGTAATTCCCCTTACGGCTGGTGGGAGGCTGTTGAAAAGTCTTGGGCCCCGGACACTTACTGTTTTCCCTTAGTGTACCAGTGGCGCCCCTACTTTTCACAGGGGGTATGTTGCATCGCCTGACAAGTCTTTTGCTTTCGTAGAGAGTGATTGCTGTGTGCAGATTAGGGACCAGTCCCTCCAGAATCTTCCAGGTGTAGATTATGATTTCTCTCTCGCCTGCGCTCTAGTGAGTACAAGTCAAATGCTTCCAGGCGTTCCCAGTAGTTAAGGTGTTTGATGGAACTTATACGTGCAGTGAGGGTTCTCTGTACATTCTCTAGATCTGCAATTTCGCCTGCCTTTAATGGAGATGTTAATGTACAGTAGTATTCCAGCATAGAGAAAACAAGCGATTTAAAAAGGATCATTTTGAGACACTGACCGCGGGTTCAATCCCGGCCGGGGTATGGTTTGATCATCACTGGCTTGGCACCTCTTGTCTCGAATGTTCTCATTATGATACGGTACTATGGTTTACATCTCTGATATGAGAATGAAAAACAGGATAGGGGCGAGTATTGTGCCTTGTGGAACAGAGCTCTTCACTATGGTAGCTTCCTATTTAACTCTGTTTACCACTACTCTGTTCGATCGGTTAGACCACGCCACTATTTGTCCAACCATTTTTAAAGCTACTTACAAGTGCCAATTTCAATAATTATTTGGCATTGATCTACAATTCTTCTTTCCGAATTAGTTTTACATGGATACTCTATTAAGTAGATATAGTACGTCATTATTACAAACTTTAAATGAAGTAAAACCAGATATTGCGGTTACATTGAGCAGAAGAACCACCAAGTTATCTACCATAAACCACAAATGATACACAAGTTGTCTGCGAAATCAAAGTCGAACCTAAGTGGACCACATTTCTGTGGTTATTGCAAGTGTTGTTAGCTTGCTCTCTGGCCTAACCGCCTCAGCTTTAATACACACCCATGACATCATCCCCACACTAGCGCTCCTCCTACAACAATGACGTAATTTTCTCTGAAAGACACACTGGGTGAATCAAAGCAGCTTGCAACCACTTCGCTAGGCCGCTACTGATTAAGCTTATAATAAAGCCACTGCTGAATTTACTGGCTAAGAGCGCTATCCTACCTCAGCTCTCGCAAAAGACCTAATCCTACTACCCCTTCTCAGGTTACGGCTCAAAGCCAGATACCTATTTACTCCTAGGTCAACAGGTGTAAGGAACACTCAACGTCTCCTTTCACCCCAGAATCGAACCTAGCTACGTGTCATCTAAGATATTTAAGTGGGACACTTTTGGGGAGATTTAAGAAAAAAAATTACAAAACATTTAAACTTCAGTGTAAGCATAATACTTTATTCATCGATAATAACCTTACCTTTCAAGAGACTGCTACACATTTTACTGTCTCCTACTTTCATCAGAGTTTTCACAGTACAGGGAGAAAATTCCATGAGGATCTTATTAAATTTTAAAAAATAAACGCAGAAGTTTGATAAGCTGACATTAAATATAATGAAAACCGTCCGATGTAATGTTATAAGATTTATAACACTGAAACATTAATACATTTTGATAATTAATATAAAAATATAGAGCCAATCTAGAAAAAATAACTTGCTATTTTCCTAGTAAAAAATTACTCTACATTCTGTTCAAATTGCAGCGACTCGTGACTGTCTTTCTGGCAGGATTTTCTGTACAGTTACTACAAATAACAGGCTATTACAAAATTTAGTTTGTGTTCTATGACTTATTCTACAAACCTGAGTTATATTTTGCAGTATTCAAAAGATTGAAATCAATGTAAAACTTTTAGTAATGCGTTAAATTATTATTACGCTGATTTTTTTTTTTTTTTTACTTAATGGCGTAGAAACCGTTTTCGCTGAAATATAAATAACACTACAAAAGTGCATGCGCCCAAACGTCAAATTTCTTGATGTGATTTTGACAAAGTTCTGTAATAAAGGTGTAAACGAACTAAAATTAGAAGGTAATGTGAAGAATGTGTCATCAGCAGGTATTGTTGAGTGCGTCACAAGCGAAGAGGTATTGATTGTCATAAGGTACTGGGGGGCGCTGATGTGCCTTCCACTTACCTCTGTTTGTATTCCATAGCTTTCTTTCTCCAGAACGCAGCCTCCTCTTGAAGGGATGGAAAAGTCATTCCGCCGTTCATGGTTGTGAGGTACGTCAGGTCGCGGATCCGGTCAGCAATGTGTTGGCGGACCAGCCAGACCCTTCAAGCCTTTATTCTACTCTCTCTCACCCTCCCTTCCCTCGAGTCTTTCACTCCCTCCGTTTAATTCACAGCAATAACAGTTCTAGATATCACGTGAAGCCGACTGATATTTCACATTGTAAACCATCATGAGCAAATTGAGTTCTAAATGCTGTGTATGGTGCTGTGAGGGAGAAAATCAATACCAGCACCTACCCGTACCACTGCTGCCAGTCTACTGAACAGCAGACGACACGGATCAGCTGATGAGGTACCACCTCTAGCAGGGGCTTCCCGCGACGCCCGCCAGGGGGACACACAGCCCTGTTCAGCAGAAAATAATCATATTAAACTCTTTAAAACATATTAAGACTGAAGCATGAATCTAGTATTATGTACAATTTTCAACAACAGTAAAGTCTATTTGTAAAACAAATTAAAAACATTTTGCGTAAATTCATAAATTTAACAATAATGTTCCTAGAGATTAAATATCTTGAATTTATTGTTCCCGCAAAACTGATGTACAATAAAGCATGACACGTGGTAGTGCATGCGCGCGTGCACTCCATGTTGGCACTAGCTATCCTAAAACATTACCTCTTAATAATAATTATTACCAATATTAAATTCCAGAGCCCCACGCGTCTTGTTATTATTTCCTTTAATATAAAGATGGAGTTTGCTTTATAACTTCCTTGTTTCAAGGGACTGCCTTGATCCAAGGAATTCAAACTCCCATTCCCCAGGTGCTGCATGCGTCCTACGGGTTTAGCGCTTCCCCATGAATACGAAGCGCTAAATCTATAATGGTCAGTGCCTTAGAGCTGACAAATAATTAGGCCTGATCCAAGGAGAGGGTGTTCCAATTCCTTGAATCAATAGCATCAAGGCAGCCACCTTCAAGGTATACTAATCTACTGCTACTACCAAACGAATATTACTAAATAATAATAATAATAATAATAATAATAATAATAATAATGGGTGTGCCATAGTACTAGTATAGGTGGGGATCAGCTATTTTTACGGTATCAGTATCTAAAAGTGGCCGATACCTGCCCATACTTTTAAAACATTAATAACATGTGCTTAAAATAGCTTAAAACACACTACCTCAAGACTATGAAAGTTACTCACAACACACAACAAATAAAAAACATGGTTATCCATGATTATTCTGGAGTAAAATGTAATATAAGACAGCAATGCTAACAGCGGGCAAGCAGTGAGCCGCTTCAGTTTCTCCTCTAGCCTGCAGTACACTAGTTCTAGGCTATTCAAGAAAATGAACTACCAAAGCACAATTCGGCTCGCATACTACAGGTTCGAGGCTCAATCCCGACACGGGTGAAAACGCTGGCCATGTTTCATTACACCTGCTACCCCTGTTCACCCAGCAGTAAGCAGGTACTTGGGTGTCAGTCGAGTGTTGTGAGTGGCATCCCAGGGGATGACAGTATAACTTATATAGGGCTGGACCTTGAAATGAACCGAGGTAGGATAACAGTTCTTAGCCTGCAAAACTGGAGTAAAAAAATTAGGAAGTACCTACCCGCTGGAACAGCACCTATTTAATATTTGATCTCATCAGGGAACAAAAAACATGCTATTGCAATTTACTGCTTAGATAACACAAACTGTCTGATCTCAGAAATAGTTGCCTCAAGTACAATATTTGAAACATTTCAACAATACTGAGTTATCCAAGATTCTCAGGCTTGGTTAGCACGCTATCAGCTCTGTGTCAATGTTAACTATGTTCAAAAGTTCCACCAATGACTATAATACGATACTCGGCACATTTCTTGAACCCCGATGAAAGAATTTCTTTAATGCCAATGCAGTGCATGAGACAAGCAACAAAGCTTGACAATACTGAGAATGAACTGAAAGAAACCCAGGAGAGAATTCAGCAACTGAAGAACCCAAGAGTGCAAGTGGTTTGCTAGCATCAAGCAAAAACGAAATGAACCACAGAAAGGTTAGTGTTTGAATCCATGGCGTGCTTGTCCTAAAACTTCAGGCCAGTGCGTAGCCACTCGAGTGGCTTACGCACTGGCCTAGAGTTTTAGGACTCATTTGCCATGAGTTCTGACTCTACCCGTTCCGTGGTTTGTTTTCAAACGTGTTATTACGATTTCGTGAGTCATGATGACAACGAAATAAGCAAGTGTCACCCACACAGCAGGCTTTTTCAGTTGGGCAGCATTTGGTTATCTTTAATTCTGGAAATGTTTCGCCAGCCAGTGACTTCTTCAGTCACAGAGAACGTGGAAGATGAGAAGTTTGTAGTCACTCCCTCAGCCAGGCCAGTGTGTCAGCCATCAATTTTAATAAGAGGAGGAGCTTATATGCTGCAGACAGATGAAGTGAAGCAGTGGTAGGTGGAGTCACCAGTGAAAGTTGGTCATGCCTATAGGTTCGGCAGGCTTAGAAGAATTCCCTGCATCAAGATTCCAAGATGCTGCTGTGTCTGACAGAATTTGTATAAATGCCTTAGAAAACCGACAAGTTGATAAATGAGACACTTGTGCAACATTTGGGTATCTTTACTCTTCAGTCCAATACAGAGAACGGTGGAAGACGAGGAGTTTGAGGTAATCAGTCCCTCAGCCTGGTGTCGATATGGTCAGTCCATCACTCTTTATAAAAGTACCGTATATGCGTAGAGAAGGGGGCTTATATACTGCAGACAGATAAGCCCCCTCTCTAGGTATATGCTCTTTCATCAAAATTGATGGACTGAACACATCGACTCTAGACTAAGGGATGATTACCTCAAACTCCTGTTCACCTTCCATCGTTCTCTGTATTGGACTGAAGAAGTCACTGGCTGGCAAACTTTTCCCAAATAAAGATATTGAATGTTGCACAAGTGTCTCATTTGACACTTGCTCAACATTTGAGCATCTTTATTCTGGGAACATTTTTCCCAGCCAGTGACTTCTGTCCAATACAGAGAATGATGGAAGATGAATAGGAGTTTGAGGTAATCAGTCCCTCAGCCTGGAGGCGATAAAAGTATAGCATATACGTGGAGATGGGACTTATCTGTCTGCAGTATATAAGCCCCCTTCTCTGTGTATATGCTGTACTTTTATCAATATTAATGGACTGAATACATTGACTCCTGGCTGAGGGACTGATTACCTCAAATTCCTCATCTTCCACCGTTCTCTGTATTGGACTGAAGAAGTCACTGTCTGGTAAAAAATTTCCAGAATAAAGATACCCAAATGTTGCACAAGTGTCTCATTTATCAACTTGTCGGTTATCTAAACCATTTAAACAAAAAGGCTTCTTCAGTCCTGAAGAATATCTGATGGACATTTTCAGGGGCTCTTCGCCCCTGTTGTCGGGTCCTAGATCAAAACTCTTGGTAGACGAAAGCCTCCTCAACCAGACTGTTATTGCCAGTCTCTCACAGTCCAACATATGAACCACAGCCTGGTTGGTTAGGAAATGATTTGAGGAATTTGTCAAGGTCCTTCTTGAAGATAGCCAGAGGTTTATTGGTAAATTCCTTATGCACACAGGGAGGGCACTGGGAAGTCAGGGACTTCTGACACTCGTTGAGTTCTATCTTATTATACCAGGTGCAACCCTACTTTCTTTTTTATTGGAGATACTCTGTACTGTCTGGAAATCTCATTTTCATATGGTTTCACTGTGTTGGTTTGGGCCATCCCACCAGTATTTACCAGGTGATTCATTTCTTTTGCCTGGGTTCCAGAGAGAGACTTCATGAATTTCCAGCAATTTAGATGCTTGACTGTGTATGAGCAGTGAAAGTTGTATGTTTTACAGCTCAGCAATCTCACCTGCATAACGGGTTCAGCATCTCTGTCTTGAAAGTTCTAGTTATTCAGTCTATCATTTTCCTTGTAATAGCAACATTGTTGTGATCCTTAAATACAAGATCTTATGACACTACTCTCAAGTCCCACGTGTGGAACTTTCACTCGGTTAAATGGTTCGTGTCTTTTACTCCATTCCAGCCGATTTCCTTCATTCTTTCACAATAACGCAATAAAAACTTTTCCTAAATTTAACATCGTATTGGCTCATAAATGTTCTATGTAAGGTTTGCAAACCATTGATATTGCATAAAGAGCAACACATTTTTATTGGATTGTTTCAGTTTCATTAATACAACGGAACCTTAATATTCGCACATCCTTATATTCGTACAACTCGATATTCGCCTAACTTTTTTGAGAAAAATTTGACTCGGTATTCGTGCGTTGTCCTAATATTCCACCTAAACAAAATGGTCCATCTGGACAAAGTCCAACAAAAACAAAGCATCACATGCTCAGTCTCTTGTTGGCTTTCGTTCATTAAGCATCGTTCATATAAGCTCCGTGAACCTTTTTTATATTTCATTGTTATTCTGTGTTTTTTTTTAAATATTTTCATTGAAAATAAGTAATCATGCCCCCCCCCCCACAAAAAAAAGAATAGTGATGCAAACACGCCTAAAAGGAAAGCAGTGAGAAAAACAATTAAAGTGAAAAAGGAACTCATTGCAAAGTGGGAAAATGGAACACGTGTCGGACCTGGCCACTTGCTATGGTATGGAAAAATCCACCATATCGTCCATACTGAAAAATAAAGAGGCAATAAAAGGGCCTGAAGTGGTGAAAGGAGTGAAAATTCTTGCTGTGAAAAGGTGACAGGTAACTGAAGAAATGGAAAAACTTTTATTAGTGTGGATTAACGAAAAACAATTGACCGGTGACAGTGTTTCTGAGACAATAGCTTAAGAGAAAAGCAAAACAGTTATATAGTAATCTTAGGTAAGACACCTCACAAAACAGTGCTGAAAGTGATGAATTTAAGGCAAGCAGGGGTTGGTTTGATAGGTTTAAAGAGGAGTGGGATTCATAGTGTAGCAGGGCATGGGGAGGCTGCCAGTGCTAACAGAGATTTGGCTTGAAAAGTTTAAGGAATTTAAAACCTATGAAGACACTGAGGGATTTATTCCTCAAGTTTTTAACTATGATGAAACTGGCTTCTTTTGGAAAAGAATGCCTAAGAGAACTTAAATCACACAAAAAGAAAAATCATTACCAGGGCACAAAGCCCATGAAAGAAAGGCTAACACTTTGGCTGTGTGGTAATGCTACCACTGAAAAGTCAAGGATGTAATGTGGAAGACTAATAGTAAAGCTTGGATAACAAGGCAGTTCTTCACTGAGTGGATACCTAAAGTGTTTGCCCCAAGTGTAAAGCAGTATCTTGCAGGAAAAAGACTTACCATTAAGGGCACTTCTTGTAATGGACAATGCTCCTGCTCACCCTTCAAGCTTGGAGGAAAATTTGGTGGATGAATACACCTTCATTAAAGTGAAGTTCTTGCCCCCTACCACTGCTCCTCTTATCCAACTCATATACCAGTAGGTAAATTCCAATTTTAAGGAAAAAACATTTTAATATTCTCTGGTGTTTAATTAAGGATAATAGACAAAGCCTAGGGGTAAGTTTCTTTCAGGACAATGAACTCTGCCTGGAAGAAATTGTGGCCAAACTGTGTGTCACAGATTTTGAAGGTTTCGAGGCAGAGCCCGTAGTGAAAGATATTGTTTCTCTGGGCCAGTTCATGGGTTTGGAAATGGACGATGAGGGTGTAGAGGAGTTGGAGGAGGATCACAAGAATGAGCTCACCATAGAAGAACTTCAAGACCTGCACAAGAAACAGCAAAAGTGGTTGAGGAAATTTCTTTTTCTTTAGAGGAGGGAAGCAGTAAGGGCAACATTTCCACAGCAGAAATTAAGGAACTGTTACCAATGGCATCTTAACATTACTTTGTGAATAGGATCATCAGCCTGTTCAATGACAATATTGTTGACCGCTTTAGACAAATTTTGAAAAGTCATCAAAAGCACACAATGTTGCACAACTTCTTTAGCAAAGAAAAAAATCAGACACTAGTGAATTCCAGTCATCTTCAAGTGCTACTGCACAGACAGAAAGAGAGAGAGAGAAAAAGAAACACCAGATGGACAATTACTTGATGTTTGTATGGAAGGTGGCACACTTTCCAAACAATAACATCTCTCCACCATCAGCACTCCTCAGTAAAGGTAAAGTGCAGTTAAATTTTCATTTATTTCATATATTTATTGTTTTATAGTTTTCATGTATGATCTAATGCATGCAAATATCATTATACAGGTTTAAATAAGCAATAATTTCATTTAAAATGTTTTATAATTGGTAATTTTTTGGGGTCTGGAACAGATTAATCCAATTTCTGTTA